GTCCGAAGCGAGGGGGATGTGATTCGCCCGGGGGAGGGGGGGCGGGGGGACGGGGGGCCCTGGAGGATGGCGAAATCCCATGCGCGTGGGTTTCCCGGGGCTGCAGTACAAAGTGCCACAAAGTGGGGCTTAACTGTATTTGTTCTCTCACGCTTCCGGAGGCCAGACGTTCAAGGTCAAGGCGACGACAGGGCTGGTCCCCTCTGGACGGGGTACCCTTCCCAAGCCCCTTCCCAGGCTTCTTCCCAGCTCGGGGCCGCTCCTCGGCTTCGGGCTGTCACCCCAGTCTCTGGCCTTGTCTCTGCTTGGCCTCTTCCTTCTGTCTCTTATGTTCTTATAAGGACAGCAATCTTTGGGTTCAGGGCCCACCCCAACCCCAGCACGCCTCATCCGGGACCTGTAGCTTAATCACATCTGCAAAGACCCTATGCCCAAATGAAGTCATGTTCGCAGGTGCCGGGGCGGACTCGGACATACATTGTTGGGGACACGGTTCAACCCCCTACAGTACAGATGGGGATTTGGGGTTCACAGGAAGTTGCGCGTCAGTCCACAAGAGGCCCCCAGGTGCTGGGGGGGCTGGAGCTCTGCCCGGGGTGAGCCCAGGCTGGTCCCAGGACGGCCTCCTGCCCCTCTGCTGGTCTCCGCCTTCCTCAGCCCGCTCGATGGCTGATGTCCTGGGGACACGCTTGGCATAGCATCTGCACCCACGCTGCCACGCCTGGGTGTCGCCCCAGGCAGTGTCCTTGTGCAGGTTGGCGCCTCTGAGTATGAGACAGGGTGGCATGGGTAGGTTGCGGTCCCTTCGGCCTGGAGACTGAGGGCAGTGGGCACAGGCCTGTGGGGCCACGGTTTGGCCATCACGTCGTGCCCATTTTCCCAGCTGGCGAGGACTCTGGGTAGGGCCTGGCCTGGGCGGCTCGGAGTGGTATGAGCGACCTCCGGAGGCCGGGGCCAGGCGGGGCCTGTGAGCCCGGGAGAGGCGTCCTGGTCACTCGGGGCTGCCATCTCACACACATCGGGCAGCAAACCCGGGGGATTCCTAACAGCAGCCTCTGTCCTTTGTCATCTTATAGAAGGTGGCCTTAAGCTCGGTGGCACTGCCATCGCCCGCCCCATTTTAAAGCTAGAAACCCAGGGCTGGGGAGTTCCTGTGCCTGCCCCTGCTACCTTAGCCTCCAGGAACGGGGGCGCTCGTGCTCCGGGGACATGGCCTGGGCCCTTCGTGTCGGTTCTGGGGGCTCACCTGCCCCACCGACAGTGACCTCTGTCCAGGCTTCGATCATGGCAGCCAAGGCTGGGGCCGACCTTTTATTTTCCAGGGACGTCCATTGCACAAAGTCCTTCTTGGCCATCAGGAATAGTGGCCAGGGCCCCACAGTTGTGCAGCCACCTGCCCCCACCTTGTCCAGCTGGCAGCTCGCCAGATGGGATGACGTCATTTGAGAGCGCCAGCTCTTCGTCATCCTGGATCCAGCTGTAGGACTGGTCAGAGCGCTCGTGGCCGTCCAGGCCATGGCTGTCTGCCTGAGGGAGCCCTGGGCTGGAGGAACCCCAGGCAGGCGTGCACCTCATTCACCTCCGTGCGCCCAGGGCTGAGCGCAGGGCACAGTGCTCAGGGGTCACCGAATGAGTGCTTGTTGACTGAATGACAGGAAGATGCCGGCGTCCTGAGCTCTGCTGCTTCACAGACACTCGCCTCAGTATCTTTGCAGAGTCACAGTGTGGCCAAGGGCTCAGCCCTCCGGGCTCGCCGTGTCAGCGAGTTCTGGACCCCCAGGAAAGGCGGGTCTGCCTCGTCCAGCCACGGGCAGGAGGGTCAGCCAGAGAAGCCGGTCCAGCTCAGTTGCTGGTTAGTCCACATACATCAGGAGAGTGAGGGCTCGGCCAGCAAGGGGGCTCCAGACAGCCAGGACGCCAGGAAGGGCAGTTAGAGTGAGCTCATGTGACGGACGGGGACCCTCGGGGCCATTGATGTCTCACCGAGGACGTCACTGCCCCCTCACACTCGGGGCTTTAGGGGGGGCCTGCCTGCTTAGGGTGCGCGTCCACACTCATTCTTTAAAGAGCCTCACTTCTGAGGCCACCAGGAACCACCCCCCCCACCAGACCACGGGCAGAGCCTACTCTTTGGTGTGTCCTGAGCTCGCGGCTCAGACTCTGTCTCCACAGCGCTAGCCCCCTCCTCATGTGGGGTGTGTCCCGTGCGAAGTGGGGGCCTGGCCGCCTGTGCCTAGGACTGTGAGGGGTTGGGGGGCCGGGGGCAGCTTCCTGCGCGGGGCTTCCTGCCTGCTGACTGCAGGGGTGAGTGAGTGGCTCTGGCGCCTGTGGCCTCCTGGGCGGCTTGCTGTTTCCGGGAGGATGGAGGAGCTGAGGGTGACCCGTGAGCCCAGGGGCCTGGGCAGCTCGGCTTGAGCGGGAGCCTTGCGAGTGTCCAGGTGGCCGTGGTTTGTGATTGATGGCTGGGGAGCGCTGGGTGAAAACCCATCTGCCTGCCCACAGCCTCCCTCAGCCTGCGCATCGCTCCCAGGGCTTCCCAGGGTGCCGTCACCATGGAGACGGCACATCCAGGCAGGGCACCCTGAGAGGCTGCAGGAGAAAGATGGCGTTAACCCTGTGTGTGCGGGCTCCCGGCCCTGACCGCTGCCCTGTCCAGTCCCTGGGGGAAGGGGCAGGTGGTGGAGTGGCGTCGTGAACTCTGGGGGGCGGGGGTGAAGAGACTCTGGACACGCCCAGCTCTTCAAAAATCTGGAGCCCAAGCTGGTTCCGAGGAAAGTGACTGGAACGGGCATGATGGGTAGGAAGAGGCTGTTGTCTGGAGGCACCCAGCCTGTGCCCTTCCCTGTCTGCAGGGGCGAGGACCTCAAATCCTGCCCGCTTCCTGGCGGTGCACTGGGGTGTCGGGGCTTCCTGCTGTGTGTGGATCACCCTCGGAGGAGGGAGGGGCAGAGTGTGGCTGGTCCTGGGCCTGCTGTGTGGGGGGCGCTTCTGGCCATGCAGGGAAGGACAAGCCACTCTCGTGCTGCTCTAGAAGGCGGTGCAGACCGTGGGGCTGTCACCTCCCCCAGGGAGGGGGCTTTGTCGTGAGGCGGTTGGCCTGGCTGGCCTGGCTGGCCTGCCCTCTGCACCATGGCCATCCCTCCCACAGGAAGGCCGCTGTGGGCAGCAGCAGGCCTGTCTGGGATGCGGGGTGCCTGTAGACAGGGTGACTGGGGGGATGGCAGAGGGTGGAGGGCAGGCGGAGGGCCTCTGTGGAACCAGCGGTCCAGCGGGCTGAACCTCTGTGCCAAGGGCGGGCTGCTGCTTTGCTCTGCCTGTGGAAGCCCCTCCCGGCCCCCCGGGACCACCGAACTGGGGTGAAGCTGTCGTCAGGGACTGTGGAGTGAGCTCTGGGTAATTCCCGCTCCCATGGGCCAGACTGTCCCTACAAGCTGAGCCCCACCCGGCCCCACGCTGCCCCCCAGGGGTGTCCCCCAGGGGTGCCCCCCAGAGGTGTGACTGGCCCCTGAGCCAGTGTCCAGGCATCCAGCCCCTGAGGGTGACCCAGCAGCTTCTCCCCCATTTCCTGCACCCCCACCTCTGTGGCAGCCCAGGCCAGCCCAGTGCACCCAGCTGCAGGCTGCGGAGCAGGGAGCCTGTCCCAGCCTGGACGGAGGTTGGGGCAGAGGTCGGCCCGGGGCTCTTCCGCGTCCCTCGCTGTAGCTATCGGCCTTGGGCCCTTATTCAAGGCACCGGGGCCCGGTGGGTTTTGAGTTCAGAGCCGTGTCCGTCAGGGTCCCAGCCGGGAACGATGGCTGAGGCATGAAGGTGACCAGAGTGGGGTGGTGGGCAGAGGCTGAGGCGCCGTCCCCACCCGCAGCGGGAGGGACCGGGAAGGGGAGGGGGTATGGAGGAGCCGCCTGGAGAGATGTGGAGCCTTTGCTGGAAGAGCAGGGCCAGCCCGGGCAGCCCCCAGAGGGGCCTGGGTGAGCACAAGCCCCCCACCCTCCGTTCCCTGCAAGGACCCCGCGAGGGCGGGGAGAGGGGTCGTTGCTACGGTCCACCCGTCACCTCCTGGCAGAGGAGTGAGGGGCAGGGCCTGAGGAGACAGTGGCCACAGCTGGTCCGGTTTGGGCAGGCGACACAGCCACCCACGCTCCACGAAGTCCCCAGGGCTCAGGCAGAGCCGGGCACCAAGCACAGGGAGGCTCTGCAGTGAACACGCGGCCTTGACCCCGAGTGGGGACCTCGGGAGCTCCGGGCTGCAGCGCTGGACTTCGGAGGAGCTGGACATGGCCTTGCGTGGGGCGCCGTGCTGGTCACGGTGGCACACGGTTCTCGCCTTGCTGCCGAGTGTCAGCCCCGTGCGTACGTGTGAGCGTGTGCACACCCGCTGGCCCGTCTCCCCTCGTGGGTTCAGTCACACCTGTCCCCTCGCCTCTCCCAGCCCCCTGGGGACAGGTTCAGCGCCACCCTGCCCCCCTGCCAGGGCAGGCAGCCCCGTGGTCTGTGCAAATGTGTGGCCTGGGGCCAGCCCAGTGACCACAGGCCCGGTGGGGTCTTCAGGGGACTCAGCCGGTTCAGCTGTGTGTGTGTGGGCGGGGGGAGGGGAGGGAGGAGTCTCTGAAGTGCTTTTCTCAAGTGAATGAATGAAGGAGGGAATGACTGGACAGTGCACGGGCCCTCCCGTGCCTCGGTCTGCAGTCACCGTGTCGATGACAGCGGCTCAGCTGAGCTCACGGTCGGGACCCTGTTTAGCAGGTGTCCCCTGCGGAACGTGTCTCGTAGGTCATTCCCCTCAGATCTGCATCACACCTGTTAGCAGGTGAGGGAGAGGCTGGGCTGCCGTCCCCCCTGAGGGAGGTGCCCTGGGGTCCCCATGGGACAGCATGTGTCCCCCACCCCCACAGACTCGGGGCGCACCCAGGTTCCGCCTGCCGGGGCTCCTTGCGGGACTCTGGATCTCGGGGAGGGGGGAGGTGGCC